TAAACATACTAATTATTTATTTTTTTTAATATATAAAATAACATGAAATAAAATAATAATTTCTGAATGTATGAAATATGTAGCATTCTAAAATAACTCATTATGAATTAGTTTATCATGCATACTTATGATTGATTAATTAATCTGTACACAAGCTTACTTATAAAATAAACTAATAGACATAGATTTTTATTGATTATGAAAACCATTAATACAAACCCCAGAAAAAATGAACTAACAAAAATATTCTCATAAATATTACGCCATTCACATTGAACAGTGAAAATCAAAATTGAAAATACACGAGTATATTCCTACAATGATACAGATTACAGAAATAAACGTCGATAACCAACCCAATTTAACATAAAATTATACAAATTATCGCTATTACGAATCATTACAAAATATATTACATAACATACAAAAAAAAAACCTAAAATAAACACACTATCTTAAAACCAAATGATATACGCACAACACATCGGTCATCAATATCGACAATATCACAGAAATTATTATAAAAACCTTAAGAACTAACCACAAAACAGTTCTATTGCCCTATGGTAATGCCTAGAGTAACAAAATAAGCGTCAAATATTAAATTACATTTAAAATAATATAATTGTATAAACTGGGTACACAAATTAATTTAATTTAAATATTTCATATTATACAAAATAGTTTGTATCACAATTAATAAATAAATAAAAAGAATAAATTATTGTATACTACCAAATAATTAGACATTATTAGATCAATATAATAATAATTTAATATAAAAAAAATTGTTTTCTTAAAACATTATAAAAACACAAAAAAAAAGGAAAACATTAAATAATAGAACACATCGACAATTTTTTTTATATAGATATAGATATTTGAATTATAATACTAGGGTAACATTAATGTAATTATAGCATACAGGGACACGCGATTCAATACAAGTAACAACCACTATAGAAAACAATTATATCATAAATATTAAAATAATGTCATATTAACTTATTATGATGAAAACAATATCCAAAATAAAATGTACCAAAAATAGGTACTAATAATCATTATTAAGCAAACTCAATTATTTGTAACAAGATAGAACATGCAACCATATTACAGTATTTATTTCAAAAGAAACTAAGCAAATCTACATCAATCAACAAATAAATAATAATACGTCAAAGTTTGGAATCTCTTAGAACCAATCAATAGCATATTATCAAACACTACTCTAAAAAATAAAAAATAAAATAAACATCTTCTCAGGTAGATCTGATTCCATAAAAAATAAAAATGATCTATATTTGTATAATAACAATTAATGAGGAAGAAATCGATGCCAACAACTTTTGTAGATATTACATTATGAATAAAACACATAAATTACAATATAACGATAACAAAAAATGTACCTATACAATAAATACACATTGACCCTATCTAACAACAATAAGACTTGGCTATCTCCATTCATCAACGAACAATATTATTAAAACCAGATGTCTAGATAATATAAAACTATAATAACATAACCATTTATAAAAACGCTCAAAAATTAATAGGCATAAAAGGATACATAATATCTAAATATACACAGACTCACTTTATAAGCTCAACTATTAAAAATAAATCCACTTCAACACCACCTATCTACATCAACAAACGAGAAAAATATCAACAATCCACTACAATCAAGCCACCAACCACCAACCATGGTCCAACACCACAGATCAACGCCAATACGAGATAACGACTACGGGACATGCCAGACACTGATCCTAGAAATGGTCAGATGTAAAACCAATAACACTCTCTTCGACCATAAAGACATTAAGCTACTGAAATACATATTCATCAAAATACGAGCCGCCGAAGAAAAGATGAAGCCGCATACAATTAAAACTAATGGCATCGATAGCAGGGCATAAGAACCAAGGAGATATAAAAACATTATTCCCATCAATCACAAGTAACCCAGCAACATATCAAATCTGAAAATGCCGAACACCCGTAATCGGACACAAAATATCCAGACCAATTAAAAAAATCTATATATCACAAACAACATCAAAAGAAAACGTTTGATGAGACCGCCATTGCAAGATATTGGCATCTCCACAACAACAAGGCGATTAGGACTGTAGCGCAGCCAACGGAGATGACGCAACTAGCCACAATATCGCGAAACCATCGATAACAAAGCTATTAAATATGTCAGATATAAATCAAGTCAAATTCATTAAAGACCCACCATTACTTCAAACAATACATGCCATACGAGCATACAGTGCATGCGTGAATCTCTAAAATCTACTTGCCGCGCACACAATGCTGCGCTACAGGCATCTGATGAAGGGGCATCACCTGCTACCCATGTAACGGGCACACACAGCCAGTGCCAGTGCCTTTTGCCATTGCTCGTCTCGGTCCCAGTGCCATTCCCAGTTCCAGAGCCAGTCTCAGTGCCATGCCATTCCCAGTGGCATTCCCATTCCCAGTCCCTTTCCATACATAGGGCTCCTAGGTCCTATCAGATGCATGGCGTTTACGACCCATAGCCAGTCTGTTGTCTTCCCATGCACGCAAGGCTCACAACGTATCTCGTCAATACCATAGACGCTTTATCCAAAAAAACCTCAAACAATAATCAATATTTTTCTTTCTCATTTCTTTCATTAAGTCGTGCTTATTTTAATATACCTATTGTGGTCTCATTGATTTGAATTCACATCTGTGACTATATTATATTAAAAACCGTCTATTTTTTATTTATAAAACCTACCATTCAATTTCCTATCCACACTCTTCTTCAAATTCCATTATCCATAAATACAGTATAAGAATTCAAATAGAGCTCAATAGAGTCTCAAATAATCTAATAGAGTTTGCAATAATATCGCGCATCGAACCACGATCAACCATTCAGACTGCTAGAGACATCCACAGCTTGGAACATCGACCTGCTTCAAGCAAGGTAAGTGATATTAATTATATTTCTATTCGAATCAAAACATGTTAACTAATGTCTTCCATAATCATAAAACTATTTAGTAGTAGAGTAAAAATCGGATAAACGCACACATACACCCTATATAATCTACCACTTTCTTCTATCTACCTTTTACCCCTTTCCTTTCGTTTTATTCTACTACAAATAGGCGCCCAACGCGAGGCCCTTTGTCCTTTTCTGTTTCTATCATTTATTCCTTTATTTTTATTCTACTACAAACTTTTCCACACAACTGTTGTGATTCTAATAAATACTGATTAAAATTATTTCTAACTTCTTTGACTTATGATTCTAATGGTTCGTATAGTTTTACAACAGTAGATAAATCTATTGACACAGATTGTAATGTAAGACCGGTGGCATTAAAACTTTTGAGAATAGGAGTCTACATACAGATCATAAAAGCAAATTCTAAAGTGGATATTTTCTTTAAAATTGATAATGCTTCACAAGGGCGTAGCTAGGATTTCAATCAGGGGGGGGGGCAGTGATGTAGCCAACTTTAAATCATTAAAACTCAATTTTTTTTTAAAGTATTTATTTATAATATATTATTCATTAATCATTATTTTTAAATTATAACAATGACAATCGTCTAGAGTCCTCGCAAAATCTGCTGAGAATTTTCTGTTGCATCTCTTCCTTTTTTTTCATCTAGCAGCTTTCTATGCACACTTAGTATGCATAGACCTGAAATAATTTACATTGTATATGATTAATATTAATATAATTATTAATTAGCATTGATATAAAAAAACTATTTTGATTTACCATTCAGACGGTTTTCCGTCATCGTTGAACGCAACCAAGTCTTTACCCTTCTTAACGTACTGAATGACCTCTCAATAGTGCTAGTTGTACATGGCTGAGCTAAAGAAATATGCAACGCTTGTTTTATTTTAGGAAAGAAAATATCTGTTTCTTCTACTACTTCACTCATTTCCATGTCTGATAGTTTGCTTTTAGCCAGTTTTTTCTCCTTCCAGATGTTGTACCATAATTCTGCTTCACTTTCCAAGTCTTTAATTTGGTAATAATTGGCAAAATCATTTATTTTAAGTTTAAATTCTTTGGTGTTCATATCTAACATATTCGAAGGGTGTAATAATAAAAGTGAAAAAGCAGGTATGTTTTCATCAGAAAATCTCCGTTCCAATGAGGATATTAATGAATCCAAGTATGGAATTAGTAATGATCTCTTCCAGAATTCAGCCGAATTTAACGCTGGAGGATTCGAACGATGTTGTTGTTGTTTAACAATCCTAGGAAGATTAATTTCTGCTCCTATATTCTCAGCTGCTAAGTTTGCAGCAGTTAATAATTCTTGAATTTCTGTGTCAGCGTGTTCGCGGTGATCTTTCACTATGACTACTATTTTTTTTATAAAATTTGAGCATTTCAGCAAATCCAGATTTTTTGATTGTAAAGCATTCACAACAGGCTCAAATAATTTAGAGTATTTTGCTATGAGGATAACACTCATTATAAAAATACTTTTATTTGCTACAGCATACAATTGAAAAGCAACTTTTCTTGTTGCAGTGTTCCCATCTTTTGACAATTTATCTAAAGCATGTACAATTATCTCAAAATTTTCTTTGAAAATTGAAATACTTCTATATTTTTGAGACCATCGTGTCTCACAGAATGCTGGTATGTTCGGGATACATTTTCTACGTAAAACAGATTCGCGAAAAAAGTTTATGATATCCTTTACCGTTGAAATTGTGTTACGTATTTCTGGAACACAATTTAAATCATTGACCACCAAGTTTAATTTATGACTTGCACAGTGAAAAAATAGAGCATGTGGATATTTTTCTCGTAAAATTGTTTGAACTCCATTGATTTTCCCTGCCATAGTTGCGCAACCATCATAGCCTTGTCCAACAAGCTTCGTTCCATCGAGACCTTCGTTTTGAATAAAATGATCTATTGCACTAGCTATGTTAACAGCATCCATGGCATGTAGTTCAATGAAGCCTAAAAATTATTCTCTGATAGCCCTTTTCTCATCATCAAAAAATCTAATCCCAATAGACAATTGCTCTGTTCCTGAGATATCAGCGGTCTCATCTGCCATTATACTGAAAGCTACAGCCTTTTTAACATCATTAATAATACAATCTTTGATTAATGTTCCACTTATATTGATGATTTCATTCTGAATTTGCGGAGATGTGTAGATGGCATTTCGCTTGCCCTTTTCGATATGGTTTTGGAGATACTGATCACCAGCTTCAATTCGCATTTGAATTAAGTCATAGAAAACTCCTACATCAAAAAATTATCAAAAATAAATAATTTAAATAATCCAATATTTTATAAATTTAATGATTTTATTCAATTACCTTCATTTTGACCTTTTCCTCTAAAGGGTAGATCATGGGTTCCGCAAAATAGTACATATGAAATTATGGACGAAATAATTTTTCGATTTTGTTCTAGTACTTTTTGGTGTCCGGATACCATCATAATATTTATAGGTACTTCTTCCATAAAACTTTTAGCTGCTTCGGTTGCTCCTTGGTGCCAATTATTGGAAATATGGTTTCTACAGCCCTCGTGAATGTCTTTGTATCGTGTAAAAGGTTTGATGATAAATGAACCTAAAACACCTTGGACTTTTTTCGGTGGAAACAGAACACAGTACAAACAAAGAGCTCCTTTCAGTATTTTCGAATACGCAAGCCAAGGAGCATAGGCCTGTAACCAACTATGGTTAAATTTTCTCTTTGATCCAACAGAAATAGCATCCTCACTAAAGTTGTAATTTTCTGGTGGCGTCCAACAACGTTTCAAGATATCCATTTTTTGAGATGTTGTTAAATGATTAGACCGTCCCACCCATTGACCTATGTCATTTTCAAAACGTTCTTCATTTGTAAGCTTTTTAGAAGATGAAGGATCTGCATTTCTGGTATTGCGATCATAAGAAGTGGAAGGTTCGTTGGAGGATTTGGGAATTTTATATATTCCTTCATGTTCATCACTTCCGCTACTACTTATTTCTGGCAATTTTCTCTTTTCTCGACCTTAAAAATTACGAAGACTTATGAAATAATGATGTAAGTGATAATCAGGGCTCGAAGCTTAATGCATTAAAAATTTGTTTGTTGTTGATAATTTATTAATAATAAATTATAAACATAAAATATGCGCTATGACACAGAAAAAGTTGTTTCCTATGTATTGTGGAATTTTGGTAATTCTACTATAAATACCAAGGGAGTGGTTTTGTCCCGCGCAAACAGTTTTTCGCTATATTGTATGCTTGTAAGACGATGACAACGCATGCGGGTATAGCGTCCTCTTAATATATCATAGTTACGGCAGGCGGCGGTCACAATACATAGTGTATATATTATATAAGTAAAAGACTTTGTACTTATTTATTTTACTTTGTAACTATTTATAATTCTAAAACAAGATATGTACTTACCACCAAAAAACTTTCTTATGTCCATCGTGTAAAATAATATTAAATGTAAACGTTATATATTATATTCGTTACTTACGCGAACACAGAACGGCACGTACTGCTGTCTGCTGCACTTGATTGTTGACACTATCGCTGTTGATATTAATGTATAAAGCACATAACGATTAGCGTTTAACTCATAATTCAAATAATCTTTAGATAGACTAATCGATAAAATATAAAACGATTACACGTGTAGATATCACTCGGTCCCACTAAACTATTTTTAGACTTCATGTACTTATATCATATTTAATATTTCAATTTTAACGTAAAACTTACACGTGTGATATAAGAAATACAATTTAGTTTGTAGTGCAGGGGGGGGGGCACTTGCCCACCCCTGCCCCATACTCGCTACGCCCATGGGCCAAACAATTGCTTCTCAAATTTCAAACCAAAATACTTCTGTTACACTTGATGACATGTTTCCAATAAGAACTGAAGAGGAACTGGAAATATTTGAAGACAAAATTAAGGGCGATAAAATATTTCGAAATAGTACAGTAATTTTACATATATTTTTTAATATTTATTTACTATTTAATGAAAGTTAACCTAATATATTATGATAACTCCTTGGGTTCTATTTAAATTTAAAAAAGCACTATCATAAAAATTCAGATCATATTAGTTTTATGATTTATTATACCGAAAAAAAGTAGCATCTAGATTTAATATTAACACTTATAGTTGATAAGTATATATAGGCTAATAATAATTCTATTGGAATTTAACTACCTAGTACCCTTAATCATATAAAAAAAAACTTAATAGATACTTGGAGTAGGTATAATTGTATTATTATATTCTATAGAATAAACTAATGAAGTACTTTAAGGGTATACTAAGGATATTAATTAAATCATTAGATAAATAAATACAATTTGTAGGTAAAGTGATTAATTTATTGAGACTAGTGATTTTAGGTTATACATTCCTACCTAGAAATTTTCTATATGCTGTTGGCGTTCTCGGCATCGGCATGATAATGAATTGGCCACTTACACGAAATTTAACTCTATTAGCATGCCCAATAAACCTTCATAAGAAGAATCAAACAATTTTTATCAAACGAAGCACAAACTATGCTCTTACAATTAAAAATCAATAAATAACATTCAAAATCGTTGCCGGGCAACGCTAGAGATTTTAATTGTTATTTATTTTCAGCCAGCGACTATTTCTCACATTTATTTTAATTAATAATAACTTTATACTTATTTTGAATTGACAAAAGTGATACTAAAACCTGGAGCAGTGTCGGGTATAACAGTAAAAAATTTCAGGCAAATCGTTTCAGTAGTTTTCTTGGATAGTGCGGTCGTAGAAAACTCCTTACAATTTTATATAATAGTATAGATTATAACTATTAAAATATTTAACTTCGTTATTCCAAAAAAACCAAAAACATATTCTGAGCATTTCAAATATTTTTTAAAAATAGTAGTATGAAGATAATATAAAAATAATACATTTCATAATTTGTTCTGACGACAACTACGATAATACCTTCCTCTCTAACAACATACAAAATAGGAATAGTCAGTACATCTCTAACATTTCTCCCTCGTTACAAGACCAGGTATATCTAAATCTCCCAATATCTAACTAAATACGAACTAAATTGGTCATTGAACAAATGCTCCAGTTTATCCCCTGGCCCTGACGATATCCCTTACATCTTCTTGCAGAATCTGCCTTCTTCAGCACTCTCTTACATCATACACATCTACAACAAAATATGGAACTGTGGTAGGCTACCCAAAGCTTGGAAACATTCAATAGTGATCCCGATATTAAAACCTGGAAACGACAAATTCAAGCCAAACAGTTACAGACCCATTACCTTATTGAATACTATGTGCAAACTACTTGAAAAGATCATCGATACCCGACTGCGGTGGTTTCTAGAAAAAACAAATTATCTAACTGGGGTCGGTTCTCTCAGATCCCATCGGTCCTTTTGTTACGATATTTCACCTATATCAGTATTTTAGTTTGATTCGATATTTTTTTCCGATACTTACTCATATCGGTCATTTTGTTTCGATATTTTCCTCATATGAGTATTTTAATTCGATTCGATACCAAGTAAAAGTATCGATACTTTTCTTTCGATATCACGTCCCGGGAAATTTGGGAAATAATTTCACTCGTCCCATCCAAATATTTTTGTTTTTTACGAAGTTTTAAAAATGTCAACTTTAATAATATGTCAAAATGAAGTGTGCAAAAAAAAAAATAAGATTAAAAATCATAAGAACGAAAAAAAAAACAAAAACCGTATTGTTGAAAGAAGAAAATATATCCAAATATTTAAATGGGAATCTAGATATGTTTGAATTTGAAAAGTAGATGAGAAGCTACCACTACAAAAAAAATTGATAGAATGAAAATTTAAATATCCCACTGCTGAATTCAAAATTGTTGATTTTCGGGTATTCATTGATTCTAATATAAAATGCTCTGCTCTTTAATTTAGTTTATGTGATTAAACTATGTTATTTCACTCGAACTGACTTAAAAACTGTCATATGTCATTATTTTTGCTGAACGTTTTCATTACTTTCGTGCAAGAATAGTGTCACAACTCAAAATTATTTTTATTTTTTGAGTTGTGAGCTATTCCTGATTCATTTGACAAAAAATTATATTCAACAAAACAACACATTGTATTATAGTTTTACCATTTTTATTCAATTTAGTGTGGAAGCTTGTTAAAAGTGGTTAGTGACTTGGACATAATAGGTATAAACTGCATTTAAAACATAAACAAGAAATAAACAGACAAGTAGAACATTTTGAAGGAGACGGAATAATAATACCTAGTAAGAGCACTTGGGATGTGCCCTTGTTAGTAGTCCCTAAGAAACCAGATCGAGTCGGTGCACTCTACTATCGAATATATGACGATTTTAGAAAACTCAACTATATATCTATAGACTATAGTACGGACAGCGAAAAGTGAGCCGCGACTGTTACGTTCCTAGTGGTATATTTAAGCGTAATCGCAAATAATTGTAGAAGCCCTGATGAAATTCGGCCACCCGGGGCATTGGTATCGCGGCTCACATCACGTTAGGGACCTTTTCGCTGACTGTACTTGGATCAATGATAGATGAACACTAGGGTGGTGCTAATTATTTTTTGTAATCGATACCTCTTAAAAGGTTTCAATATGTTTAAAAATGATGTATACACAAGTTGAACATAATCAGATAAGTTTAACCCGTATCCCAAAGCTGTTGAAATTGCTACTTTAATAAATCGTAGACACTGATGTAAATATAAAAAAACCCCCTATACAGTTAATATTTTTATCGTACATTGTCAGTTTTTATCTTATTTACTTTTGATATCTAATGTGAATCATAATCGTGGTGACCGTGAGTGTTCGTATTTGTCATTAGTCATTGTAAAGTTACTGGTGTCGTCACTGCACAGTGCATTTATAAAATAGTCGTTGTAATGTCACTAGTATACGAACTTCGTGATCAAACGAAAATATGATATATCGAAGACGATACAAATCAATTAATAGGCAGTTAGTTACCATCTAACATGCAAGCACAAAACTGAATAATATGGAAATAGGGAATAAAAACGGCTACCACCCTGGCACGTTGCCCGCCGGCGGTCACGCTAACTTTAAACTTATAAGTTATTACTGTTTTTGTCAAACTACCTTATTATATCCACGCCATGTGGACGCGGGCTGCCATATACTTGCACATTTTTTATGTGAATATATACTGTGGCGTTCAATGAATATTATCACGATATTATTATATCATGCAAAAAAATGCCATCGTGGAAGAAAAAACAAAGTTTTGTTTTGTCATTAATAGATAAAATAATTCCTTAACGAACTTCATTAAGTGATTAGTATCCCGTAGAAGTGGAACCTTTATTTATTATTTCAAAGTAGGAAATAACATGTGTATGCCGAGGTATGTTTTTAAGTACTCTATTCCTTAAAGAGTCAACTTTGAGATACTGGTTAGAAACCAAAACACCCTTTGGAAACGATTTATTAGAAAGTTTTCCAAAGAAAAAGAGTGTGACACTGAAGAAGAAAATAATATAGAATGTAAATTGGAGGGTGAACAATTATTTAGAGATGGACATAAAACAGAAATTCAATACAAAAGTGCATAAAACAGATTACTCGAATAATTTTTTTAATAAGTTTCCAAAACTCTCTTCACACTACTGTAGACAATCTAGTAGGAAATTATACTTACAAACTGATATTATTTAAATTACACAGCTATACAATATTTACAATGTTGCATGTAAAGAAGATAGTGAAGAACCCTTAAGCAGGAGATAATTTGATAAAAGTTTCTATAGCAAAAATCTATCAATATTTCCCCCCCAAAAAGGACCAGTGTGATACATGTGGCCAATTCAAAGTAAACAATTTATCATAAGCAGATTATCAAAAACATTGCAACAAAAAAATCAAGCCAGGGACCAAAAAACTAATGATAAAATGAATTCTGAAGCTGGTAAATGTCATGTATTTACATGCGACCTAATGGCCGTTCAGCTGCTTCCATACTGTCAAGCAAGCTCTATTTATTATAAAATGAAATTATCTGTCCATAACTACACTACTATTTACAATCTAGGAACCCATGAAGCTTGTTATTGGTTTGACGAAACACAGTGTGAACTACGTAGTAGCATCAACTTTTGCTACTTATCTAATAGATACAATTGAAAAAACTCATTTAAACCTGTAATAGTTTACTCAGATGGGTGTACAGCACAAAATAGAAATAGCATTCTTTCAAATGCATTACTGCATCTTAGTGTCAAATACCAATTGAGTATAATCTCAGATTCATCAGTGTCAAACAAAGCGTATCTCATGAAAAATACTGAATATTTAATAAACTTAGAATTTTAGTGTTTTAAACACTTTTTAATGAAAATAACATTAAATAAACATGTTTTAACATATATTTAGTCGGTTTAAATCTTAACCTTTTTTCATTCACGCACCCCTTAACCACTCACTACTACTTTACGGACCCCCAAATGCCAATTTGTCATATATTTTTACATAAGATAGATATGAATTTACGAAATAAGTTTAATAATGAAAAATTTGATTTATTTTGATCAACATGCGCAATACATTGTATAAATAAAAATGAATAGTAAAAAATAATAAAAAAATAATATTGAGTTAAAAATGTAATTTTAATGTGATCCTTGAGCTTGTTTGCTAGCACTTCACTTTTTGAAATCTGGCTCCACGGATGATAAATAAACTCGTAAGTCTGAACTCACCGAAAGTCTATTGCGGTACTTATTTTTAATAAATGTGTATGACGAAAAGGCTCTCTCCACTAATACAGAACTCGTAAACGGTAGTAAAACATTGAATGCTGTGTAAGAAAGCTCAGGATATTCGTCTTTTACATTAGCCCAAAAGGTGATCAGTGATTTTTTTTCAAGAAATTCTGCTTGAAGTGAAGAGTCCATTTTCAGTTCAATCAATTTTTCTTTTTCACGGGCTGATAAAACTGCAGATTTGAAATAAATTTCACTGAAAGGGAACATAATCCAGTGATCTTCTTTTCCACATTTAGGGAAGTATTTTGCAAAAGCTGTTTTAAGCTCATTCTAATGTTGAACAATTTGGTGTTTGATGCCTTGTGATAAGTTCATATCAGTTTCACAGAGAAAATCATGCAGTGCTTCAAAAATTTCTGGTTGGTTATTCTCAATACACGTTTTCCAAAACTTTTTAACAAAAGATTCTATTTTGTCATTAACTTGGAATATTGTCACTGCACTGTTTCGAAGAGTCAAATTTAGATTGTTAAATTTCAAAAAAACATTGGATAAGTAAGCTAGTTTTTGAAGCCATTCATGGTCGTTAAATTTTGATGACAGTCGAAAAGGGAGGTCTTCAAAAAACATTTGAACTTCATGCCTAAGTTCAAACAAACGAGTAAGGACTTTACCTCGTGATAACCATCGAACCTCAGTATGAAGAAGGAGGGTTTTGTGAAGACTTCCCATGTCTTCACACAAAAATGAAAATATTCTGGAGTTTGTGTGGCGAGACTTGAAGAAATTGACCACTTTACAAGAATCGTCCAGAACGTCCTTCAAATCTGCAGGAAGAGGTTTCGATGCAAGAGCTTGCCGATGGATACAACAATGAGTCCACTTTATTAGTGGGGATACTGCCTTAACACGAGACTTAAGACCAGAGTAACAACCTGCCATAGACTTTCCACCATCAGTACTTAAACCACAGCATTGTGACCACTTTATTTTTTTTTCGGCGAAGTAAGAATCAATAGCATGAAAAATATCTGCACCTGTTGTGCGTCCAGTCAGAGGATGGCAGAGCAAAAGACCTTCTACGCTTTCATTTTTTTTTATATATCTTGCAATAACTAACAAAACAGCTAATTGTGCTACACCAGTACTCTCGTCAACTTGAATGGAAAACAATTCACTGTTATTGATGTCTTTTAGTATTGTCTCCTCAATATCATAAGAAATGTCTTTGATTCTACGACTGACTGTGTCATTTGATAGTGGGATACCATTTATTTTATGGACATATTTTTCTCCGAACATACAATGAACTGCATCTTTAATGGTTGGCAAAATCAAATTTTCACCGATTGTGTGATTTTTACCACTTCTGGCGATATTATAACTAATTCAAAACGATGCTTCAACTGCATCTACGTTAGCATTACCCGAAGAGAGGTAGGTTTGAATATTACACTTATTTTTATTTTCAATTAAACGTTTGAAAAAAGTGACATCTTTGTCCTTTAAATCTGAATGTTTAGTAATCAAATGACGAGTAAGTTGTGAAGGTTTCATACTGCTATTAGCTAGTATTTCTCCACAGATAACACATTCAGGTTTAGCTATATTATCAATCGTAATGAACGAAAACCCGTGGCACAAATATTCTTCTGAATATTTCCTAATCTTTCCCGGCACTAGAAATTTAGTATTACTAACCTGTGGTAACTCCTTAAGATTTTCTGTGGAAATATTAGTAATTCTTCTTTAGCGCTTCTTGAGTATGAATAGGATCGGTTGATTCAGTAGTATTTCTTTTACTGACGCTACCAGTTTTTAACCAATGATCCATGTTCGAAAAGTGTGAAAATGTTTAACAATGTCAAAAAAAAAAATAGTAATTACAAATACGTTGTGTGTGTGATACGGTCTCTTTGAAAGAAGCGACTGACTAATTATTGGAATACAAATATCAAACAAACCGTTCACAAGAATAGTTTTATCTGAATTTAAGATAAAACATAGTATGTACTTGTGACGAGCAACGCCACATTACCAGATTACATACAATCTTATCGTACCGCCGCGCCGCCTAGAATGATATATTATACCTATTATAGTATTATACTCTTCTTATACACTTATACTAAATCGTATAAGTTACGAAAAACCTATTTACAACATTTACAATATTTCACTACTAGTTTCACAAGTAATTTCAATTAATTACAACAAATTTCAATTTTTCCGACCCTAGGGGTCCGCGGACCCACGGTTGAGAACCGCTGGTTTAAATCATTAAACACGTGTTTTTTGTCTCCTGAAAAACTACAAAAACTGAGATACGCTTTGTTGCAGTTTAAACGACGTAATATTATTTAGTAGATAGTAGCATAATATGATAATCATTGATAATAATATTATTATTAATTATTATTACATAAAAAAGTTAATCGTCAAGATCAATTAAGTTGTGAAGAAGTATATATAATGGACCGTCTTCGTATCGTAAAACAAATATTTATAGTGTAAAACTTGGATAAAACTTTTCAAAAATTAACAAGGTACCAATTATCTTGTTTAACACACTTGAATTCTTGGTACTACTTTAAAATATAAATTGCAATCATTGGTCGTTTGTGAAAATAGATGTCGTCTAATCATCAGACGACACTCATAATAAACCTTTGAGCTAACGTTCTTGTTTGTTTCGGCTCCTAAAATAATATATTCATAAATACTAGGTGTGTTCAATAAATATCCAGACAAAATTTATTAAAAATTGTATTTAAAACTTACAAACTATTTAAATGGATCACCTTCAAAATAGTGTCCTTTAGCTTCGATATGATGCTTCTAACGGTCTTGCCAATTGTTGAACTCCTTTGAATTTCCTCCATAACCTTTAGCTTTTGTGTCGCGTTATGGATAGTTTCGTTAACGACTTCGAATCAGTGGTATTTGAGGGTACTTTTAGTCTCGAAGACAAATAAAAAACACATGGAGCTGGTGGGTGAGGTACCACTAATAAGTCTATTTTGATGATAACAATTCACGTATGGAAAGTGCTGAACGCGCTGGTGCATTGTCATGGTGCAAAAACCACGACTTTGATTTCCATGCTTCTGGTCTTTTACGGCGTACTTTCTCTCTTAATATATTAATATTTCTAAGACTTGTTTACTTTGTATTGTATTAATTCCAATTAAGTAATGATGTTCATAATGAATACCTTTATTAATAAATTCATAATTCTTTACCTAACATTGTTTCAACCATAGCTAAACAGGCAGGTCCTATTAATTTTTGCCAATGACATGAGAGTTCATATTTTTAGCAATAAGTTCTGCGTCTTTAAATGATGCTTCAAGAGCTTTATCAGATATAGTCACTATTTTTATCATACTAGATGCAGCTCTTTTATTTGAATTCAGGAGGGGTTTAAAATATAGTCGAGTTTTTAATGACTCACAAGGCTGTTTTGTTTTTAAATGCCTTTTCAATTTACTGGATAGGTACTATTGCTTCATTATAACTTATAAGTGTTTGTTTTTCCATACCATCAGAAAATCGAGCTATAGCCTTAAACTTACTGCGTACAGAATAAAACATATTAACTACTATACATGTCATATAATTTTTTTAAATATTGTTTACAGAATAAAATGTATTAATTTATTTTTATGTTATTATTATTGTAAATATTATGTAGGTAACTTTTCAAAATAAATATTTTATACCATATGACCTGTGTTAAATCATTTAATTATTATTTCCAAATTTTTAAATCATTTGAAACCCAAATAGTAAGTACTCAAAATAAAATTCTAAAACAGTTACATGAATGTTACGCATTGGACATCTCATGGATGAAAAAAAATGTGAAATTCTTAAGTTTGTGTTTTGGGATGTTACTGGGAATTGAATTTGACATCTTTAAGTAGACTGCTAAGATACCTTTAATGTGAGATGTTCTATAGATGTTCAGTTTTAACTTCTCAGATGTGATATCCATCAACTTGGCATTTGGCATCTCTTGAATATCGCATAAATGTACATGGGCAGTAAAAGGAAACATCACATATCCGCAATAGAACATCAATTTTACTTCTCCGATACAAGATTGCACAGAGGGACATCCATTACAATGAAATACTCCACAACTACTATACAGCAGAGCGATACCGACTTGTCAACTCTTTTTTTAAATTATGAATGCGAATCCTTAAAATTTTTTTTTCTTTTTGTGGATGGTTTTTATCAAAATTCTAACAATTCAAAAAATGTATTTATGCACAAGTACATACTTATTCTAAAACAAAAATAGTTATATAAATGTCGAAACATTTTTTTAACAATTTTATTCCAATTGTTTACAAATTAATTTGGAAGTTAAAAAAAAAAAATATTTTATGTTGTTAAAATTCGATTCATTTGGACGATATTGAACTGCGAGACTTTCCATTCTGGTATAACCGAATCACCATATAATCTTTCAAATCTATAACAATAAATTAATCGGTCTTTTATCTAGACATATAGATTACAACGCGTATAATACGGTATAATAGGATCTAGTTAATTTTTAAAAGTCCCAATAATAACTTTTCAAAACAATAGAAAACAATGGGAAAACAGAAATATTTACATTTTGTTTTCAACACATTTAAATTTATATTTTAAAGACTTGATGTAATATTCAAAAATTGGTGTTGAAGAAATAATCCCGTTTTCCTGCTTTCTTTTGTTGGTTTTTTCAATTATTAAGAAAAGAACAATGAATTTCAAAAACACTCATACATTATCATACTACCTACTAGTGATGGGCAGAAACGACTATTTGCTACTACCGACTATTAGTCGGTTTTCATCACATACTACCGACTATTATTCGACTAATAATTTGCACGACCAGCTATATACAAATCATAGAAATTATTATAAATTCTTCTTTCAAAAAGGTTATTGAAATTTAATAAAAACACAAATACATCGTACGTTTTACGTTGTCGCCCCATAATTTCATTGTTATGTCATATAACACTGATTTTTTGTAGTTATTGAACTGAGAATGTCAAAATCTAAATGATTTATTAAAGAAGTGTCGTTCCATTGTGACATATTTAAAAAAAGTGAAGTTGCAAATAGAAAATTTGCCGAAAAATTAACACAGATAGGAGCTTTAAAATTATAACTTAAACAAGACGTGTCAAGACCATCATGAAACGTGAACAGTAGCCTATTGATGTTGGAAAGACTGGTCGAATTAAAAAAACCTTTGACCTATACTATGCTTTCCTTAAAGGATGAACCTGTAATGTTAAATGCACAAGAATGGGAAGTAATATGGAAGATGTTATCCCCATATTAAAACCATTTGAAGTAATGACTACTGAGTTATCAGTTGAGAACTATCCGACATCGGCAATGGTTATTCCATAAGTAAGAGGTAAGTAAGAAATTCAAAAAAATTAAATTAATTAATAAATAATTTAACAAATATTATTAGGTTTACTGCACATTTCTTTAGTAATCAAAACAAATGAAAACATACTTAGGTCAGCTACTCAAGAAAAAATTGCTGGAAAATTTAAACAGTCGTTTTAAACTCAGTGAAGAGCAAAATCCTAAACCTGAGTTTTCAAGAACGACTCTACTTGACCCTCGTTTAAAAAAATTGGCATTTCAGCATACAATTAGTGCTGAAAACGTAGAAAAGAGTATTACAGTTGAACTATCTTTACTTATCAGTGATTATTTGAATGGTAAGGAATTAATAATATTAATACATTTTTTTACGTAAAAAATGTTGATTAATTATTAAAATGTATGTTTTTTTAACATCACAGAAGAAAATTATAATATTTCTGAAACTCCTGAAATTAAAACCATCTCTAATAATGAAGCCGTCGATTTTTGGAGTTTCTTGGATGATAAACTGAATACAGAACGAACTCAAGTTACATCAGTAAGCACTACGGATAAAATTTTAAAACAATATTTCAGTCTACCACACTCCAATAGAAAATCAAAGCCAATCGATTTTTGGATCAAACACAAAATACTGTTGGGCGAATTATTCAACTTAGCATTGAAGTATTCAGTGATCCCTGCTACCTCAGTACCTTCAGATAGAATTTTTTCAAAAGCTGGTGAAATCATGTCAGCAAAAAGAAATAGAACACATCCAAAACATTTAGATATGTTAATATTTTTAAACAAAAATTCAAAACAGCTGTAAATTTGTTTTTATTTTTCCTAGTAATGTTTATGTTTTTTGTTATATTGTTGAATTAAAGTAATTCATGCTAAAGTTTGCAATCAGTCCAATAAAAATAAATCGAATAATAATAATTAATCGAATAATAAAAATAAGTCGAGTAATAAAAATAAGTTGAATTGAATAATGATAATAAGTAAAATAATCAAAATAAATCGAATAATAATAATTAATCGAATAATAAAAATAAGTCGAATAATAATAATTAGTCGGCTAATAAAAATAAGTAGAATAATAAAAATGTTCGAGTAACTAAATTAGTCATATGATACTACCGACTAAATCGATAGTAATTAGTAACTTATGCCCACCACTACTACCTACCATTATAATATATTCTTTGCTATTTATTGAATTTAAATATGAAGAAGTTCATTTTAATTTCCTAAATGTTTTTAATATTAACATAAAAAACAAGAATGATAATATACGATTGGATGAAATAGCGTGAATGATATTATTTTCTGCTTCTGGATCTTGAGCATTGTTTTAAATTCCCCTAAATTATTGTAAGTTGCTTAATTTTAAATTAACTTGTTGGTAAACGTCAAACCTATTTTAATTGGTTAACT